CTCGGTACAGCGCTTCGTGGCCCCATAGGGGGCTCCACCGAAGCCCCCCAGTGGGACGGCCTGCATGCGTCCCCACAAGGAGCTCCACCGAAGCCTCCAGTGGGACCGCCCGCATGCGTCCCCCACGCTTAATTTGGCATTTTCACCGACCCAGTACAGCGCTTCGTGGCCCCATAAAAGGGGGCCCCACCGAAGGCCCCACCGAAGCCCCCAGTGGGGCCGCTCGCATGCGTCACCCACACCAAATTTGGCATTTTCGCGTACCCAGTACAACGCCTCGCGGCCCCATGGGGAACTCCACCGAAGCCCCCAATGGGACCGCCCGCATGCGTCCCACACGCGTATTTTGGTATTTTCACCCACCCACTGCAGCGTTTCGTGGCCTCATAGGGAGCTTCACCGACGGCCCCAGTGCTACCGCCCGCATGCCTCCCCCCCGCCCAACGCAGCGCTTCGTGGCTTCATAGGGTGCTTCACTGAAAAATATTCACAATTGCGGTGCCCATAATTTCATATTGTTGGGTCCTTCGCCAGGATAATTTTGGAGATATTTCGGGCTCCCTTAGGGCCCTCCTGGGGGCCTTGGCGGGCCTCGTGTGGCCATCCTTAGGGGACCATGAGGGGCCTCTTGGGGCCATCTTGGGGGCCATCGATCGAAGAAAGGAGGCGGGGCGTAGTATGGCCCCCCATCGGATGCAGACATGCTGCCTCTTGGGCCGACCTTGGGGCGACCATGGGCGCCTTTGGGGCCCGTCCAGACCCAGGGAGAAGGGAGAATGAAGCTAGGTGCGCTCGCGCCGCGTCTGAGATACGATCCCTCCCTCCCGTTCCTTCCCGCTGCGCGGATACTTTCTTTCTCTACCCGCGGACGCGTGCCATAGTCGACCTGGGACCCCATCACCCCAGCAAAGCACCCTACTAGCAGCAAAGGCGACCTGTGAGAATTGTGGGGCAGGGGGGAACTGTGGGACTTGTGCGATCTGTGGGGCCTGTCGAACCTGTGGGGCTTCTGTGGCTGTGGGATGCGTGGGACATGTGGGACCTGTGGGGCAGGTGGTAACTGTGGACCTGTGCGAGCTGTGGGACCTGCGGGACCTGCGGGGATTTGTGGGGCCTGTGCGATCTGGGGGACCTCTGTGGCTTGTGGGGCCTGTGAGGCCTGCGACACCCGTGGGACCTGTGGGATCTGTGCGGCATGCGAGACCTGCAAGACCTGTGGGACCTGCTACGCCAGTGGGATCCAGAGAAGTGACCCATGCTGGGGCTGGAGCGCCATCCTGCACGACGGGAGCACAGCGCCGATCCGAAACTGAGGCCCACGCTGCAGCGATAGAGCACCATTTTCGAAACACTGAACATCATCAGACTGTAAACCACCATTTGAAACAAAGATAATCAGTTCGGCCCATTTCTGTGTGTACAAGAGTAGGACGCGGATGGGGGCGGACGATCTTCTGGACAACTTCGGGCGAGAGAGGAGGGTGGTATTCATTGAGCAATTGTGGAGAGTTAACCTCTCTTCCAAGGGAAGAAGTTGGTGGAACAACTAATTCCAGAAGTCACCTACGCCCACAGGGCTGACTGGATCATGCGCACGCTCACTCGGAAACAGTTGGTCGTCGCAAAGCGCTCCTGCTAAGGCGGTTGCTCGGCCTTTGCCGATCTCTATTCTCATATTCGTGCGGCCCAGCTGGATGTCGCTCCGGAGCTCGTGGCATTCTGTAAGCCTGGGCAGAGGACTGCATCGGCGTCTGATCAGGCGCCCGTTGTCTGTTGATCCATCTGGCAGATGCACTGCTGAACAGCCTTCTTGGCGCGTCGTCCGCGCAGATTGCTTGGATCTGCGCTGGACCCTCCTGGCGCTCGGAGCGCATCAGGCCCAGCCCCGGTCCGAGAAATCCGCGAGGAGCCCCGACAGTTTATGTTTTCACTCTTCCTTCTTCGGTTTTCAAGGTCGAATTTTGCCTTGCGCGGCACGCCCTGAGCCTGCTCGTGGACACGTCCTACCAGCACGCGGGTCTCGGGGGGGGTACTCGCAGCCCTTCTTCGTCGACATCTTTTTTTTCTTGTGCGGCCGGGTCAGGGCTGCTGGCAGCTGCACGCTCTGGGGCTTTGCCAGGCTGCTGCTGCACATCGCTCTTTTCACAGGGGGCACGACCCGCACGCCCGATGGTCTACGTTTCCCTTGGGCCGTGCGAATCCTTCGCTGTCTTCTTGTGCCATCTCTTGGCTCGGACAGGCGTACCTAGCTCTGCAGCTTACATCAGCAGGCTGCCCTCCCTCTGGGCTGGCAGTGCCTCAGCAGCCCGTTCTCGCAGATTCTCTCTCGTGGTGAGACGTGTGCTGCTTGGCACGACCCGAGCCTTGTTTCCGAGCTGTGCGCTAACTTCGTCGGAAGCTCGAGTTCCTCCCCACTTGGACAAGCTGTCTGAGAGGCGAAGCGAAGTGTTCCACGCGTCTGCAGTCTCGACGCAATTGCGGCCTGTTCAAGGCTGCATGCTTGGGTCGCAACTGCCATGTCGTCCCCGTTGCGCCCAGCTCTTCCCTGGCTGCGCCCCCCCTGCTTGGACGGAGGCTTCGGGCTTGCTTTTTCGGAGGCATCTCCTTCCTCACCGCGGCGGTTGCCGAACGCCTGCCGCTCAGGACTGCAGCTTTTAGCGATCGAGCGTCTTCCAGATAGTACATCACAGAAGCTTCCGCTCGTCATGGATTGATTCTATATCGGCGAACAGGGCCCAATAGCGTTCAATAGCGACACATAGCGCCCAATGGCGCCCAATATCGCTCAAATAGCGCTCAAGCAGTGCCCAACAGCGACCAATAGCGCCCAACAGCGCCATGTGAGGGAGATGCATCTTTTCCGCTCTGTGCGCCATTGGTCGCGCTATTGGGCGCCATGGGGACGATCAAACTCGTCCGTGCGGGGCTTTCGCCTCCTCCCGATGCCCACGGTTCTCTCCTCTGCCTCTCCCCGCTCCCAGCCTGCGCTGCATCGCTGACCTCTTCCCCGAGCCCGTATCGGATGCTCGGCGACACGGCGCCACCGCTGCGCCCCGCCGCGCATGGGAGCGCCCGTCCGTCCATCCGTACAGTCGGGGCCCTGAAGAAGGAACCCTTTTCGTTGGGGAGGGGCTCCGCGTTCCTTAAGTGTTTCGCAGCTTGCCTCAGGCTTTCCTTAGGTTTTCGACAATCGAAGTTTAGCTTGTGGAAAAGAGGGGACTCGTTCCTTACTTAATCGCTTCGCTCATGCCGCCGGCCCTGGAGCCCTCTTTAGGGCCTCTTGGGGGCCTCTTGGGGACCTCTTGGGAGTCTCTTGGGGCTCCTTGGCGGCGTTTTGGAGGCCCCCAGGGCCTCTTGGGGGGCTCTTGGGGGTAGTCGATTGCGGCTCCCCCCTCGGAGGCCACGATCCTCGTGAGGGGTGTCGAAAAATACCCTCCCCTGGAGTGGTCTGGTGGCTTCTCCCGGGCTTCTCTCGGGACCTTGCCGGGGTACTTTTCGTCCGGGGGCCCCCAGGGGCCGCTCCGCGCGCGCGAACTAGAAATATTGTTACCAAGTTACCGGAGATCTTAGCACGCCTCTGGCCCGTTGGGCCGGCGAATTTAGGGTTCCTTGGGCCAACGCCCCGACTGTAGTGCGCCAGGCACCCGCGCTCGTGGCGGCGCCCTCCTGCACCCCCGGGCCGTGGCAGGGTCCAGGCGCCGCCCCGATCCGCCGGCGCACCTCGGCAGACCTTCGAAGCTCATCCTCCTCCTCCTCCTCCTCCTCCTCGTCCCCTTCCTCCTCCTCCTCCTCCTCCTCCTCCTCCTCCTCCTCCTCCTCCTCCTCATGATTCTCCTTCTCCTTCTCCGCCTCCTCCCCCTCCTGCTCCTCCGCGTCTCTTCTCCTCCTCTTCCTCTTTCCTCATCCTCCTCCGTCCTCGGCTCGGCGCGCGCGGGGGCCCACGCGCTGCGCTGCGCTCAAGGGGCCGGCCGGGGCGTGGCCCGCGAGGGCCCGCGCCGCTGCGTGATCCAGCGCGTCGCCTGCCCCGCGCGTGCTGCCACGAGCGGCGTCGCTCTCCCTGTCCCCCCCTCGAGTTCTCGTTTTTTTTTTTTGTTTCTCTCTCTCTCTCTCTCTCTCCTTCGTTTTTCTTCGTCCTGGGGCTCGTACCCCTGGGGCACAACGGGCCCGCAGAGCGGGCGCCTCGGCCTGTGCCACTCATTGGTTGCGCCCCCCCCCCCCCCCCCCCCCAGGCTGTCGAGGCCGTGCCCCTTGCCTCCCAGGCTGCGCCGAACCGAGCCGAGCCGCGGCCGCCCGGCCCCTCCCTGCTTCTCGCCTCGTGCCGGGCGCTCGTGCTCGTGCGCAGGGGCCAAGGCGCTGCTCGACCAGCACCCCGCGCGGGCGCCGCGCCCGCGGCGGGCCCGAGCGGTGCCGCCACGAGCGCGGGGCGGCCTGGAGGGCCGCCGCGCGTGGTGTGCCAGTGGCCGGGTGCCTCGGGGGTCTGGAGTGGGAATTTTTTGGGTGGGCCGCTGTCGGCCCCTGGAAGCCGCCGCTGGCTCCGGGGATGGATTGCTCGATCTGTGTGCGATGGATCGCCCCGGCGGGGGGGGGGCTCTTGACTGCTGCTCGATGGCAGGGCTGTCCTCGTCTCGACTCCACGACAGAAACGCTACAGCACATGACAGCAATCTTATGCAGCGAGGTGACATTGCGGAGTGCAGCTTAGGGAGACAGACTATCGCCAATCGGTTCGAAGCAGCAGACACGAAACATGGTACAGGAAGGGAATTGCATGCAGTGCTCAGCCAAGCCACTTAAATGCCAGCTCCTAAAACCAATACGCAGAAATCGATAACAGACGCAGCAAGAGTCGCAGTAAATTCGAAATGAAAGGGGCTCCGAAACGCTAGGATCAGTAACATCAGAGATAACGGCGGTCTCGCGCATCTTATTCCCAGGATCGCGCTGGATCCTTTTCGTCTCATCTGAGCTGGCTTGTTGAAGGACTGAAAGAGCGGCTCCAGTTGACCAGTACTGCGGCCTCTATTGTGCCAGTGACGTCGCCCCCTACAGAAACATGGAACAGTTCGTCACTGCTCGAGGCTGCTGGGTTGATCTGCCCCATCGTCAGATCTGTCTCGTCTTTCGCGCCGATCAGCACTTTTTGGACATACGGTGCGGCATTCGGGTGGTGGCGGGGGCCTTCCCGTTTGCGTCCTCCGAGCATTCCAGCTGTTGGAGCAGACCCTCCAGCTGGCCCCTCCTTTGAGCTCCTTCAGACAGTTTCCGTGCCAGCACGTTATGTGATCCCTTGGGCCATTGCCCCCCCTCTTCCCGGTCCTCTCATCGGCCCTGGGAGGTGTGGGCGGAAAGGCGCTTGCAAGCCCATCGGATGCACGTGGTCCGCCCTGACCGATTCGATACTTCCTCCCCTTTTGCCATTGCCGCTCGCTCCCGCTCAGTCCTGAGGTGTCTGCTTCGGAGAAGACTACTACGGCGACACCGGGCGAGCCCTGTACACGATGTTCCAGGTCTTGACCGGCGAGTCCTGGTCCGAGGCCGCCGTGCGCCCGATTATGTATCGGTATGCGACCTCGCAGGATCCTCAGGATCAGCAGTTGTACATCATATCTCAGATATTCTTTGTGTCGTTTGTCGTGATCCAGCTGCCTGCGGCACGTTCTGCCGCCGTGCGAGCGCGCAAAACTCTGCGTGGCGACGCCTCGAACGCCCCCCGGAAGGCCGCGACCTGTGATAGCTCGTCTCGATTCCGCTCGGGGCTCTCATGGGGCCTCTCTGGGCCGTCTTGGGGCTGCCTTGGGCTCCTGTGGGGTCCTTTTGGGGCCCTCTTGGGCCGTCTTGGGATCCTCTTGGGCCGTGTGGGTGCCGTCCTGGGCCGGCTCGGCTGGGCCCCGCTCGGCCCGCTGTGGAGTCTCTCAGTGCTGTCTTGGGAGCCTCTTTGGGACCCTCTGGCGGTGGTTTCTTGGGGGCCTTTGTTGGGCTCTTTCGGCATGTCTTTGCTTCTTCGGATACCCTCTTGGAACCACCTTGAGCCGGGAGGCCCGTGAACCGCAAAATGAAGCTTCGTGGCCTTGTCTCCAATGCCCAGTACGTCTCCCGAGCCCCCTTGGGCGCCCCTTGGGATCTGCTTGTGCTTCCAAGAAGATCCCAAGAGAAAGCCTGCCAGGCAGCACTTGATTTTATTCCACGCCTCAGCATGCCAGAGGGGCACGATTGCGGATCAACTCGTTCGTGCTGATAAACGTTGTGGTTGCGGTGCTCCTCAGCGGCTTCATCTCGACCCCTGCTCCTCAGGAGCGCGGAGTGATCCATGTTTCGGATTATTTAGAGGATGCGCGTCATGAGGATGAGGACGAGGAGGAGTAGAGCAGGAGCAGGAGTAGTAGTTGACGGATGGTGATGCTAACGACGATGGTGGTGGTGATGATGTGGAGGAGGAGGTGGAGTATGAGTCGGATGATTCGGATGAGGAGGTGGAGAACAAAGAGGAAGGGTGGAGGAATGAGGAGGGGACACATCAATAGCAGGATGAGGTTGCAAAGGATACGGTGAATCACGAGTAGGAACAGGACCATGTCGATGTTGATGTCGCTGACGATGTGTTTTCTTGATAATGACTGCGATGCAGATGATGAGAATGATGCCTTTGACGATGCTGATGCTGCTGCTGTTGATGCTGATTCTGATGATGATGGTTATGATGACGACGATCATGAAGATCATGATGCTGCTGCTGCCGATGACAGCGGTGATGTCGTTGACGCTGTGGATGTTGTTGCTGCGGATGATTATGAACTGGGTTGATGATGAGGAGCACAACGTGAACAGCCATAGCAGGACGAGGGGGAGGCATGAGGATTGGGATGAACAATTCATGCTATTTCTTGTGATCATGGCGATGGCGAGGATGACAGCGAGGATGAGAGGGATGAGGACGAGGAGGGTCGGAGCATGGGACATGGTGCACGGGGCTATTCTCAAGGCAGTGCAGATTCTTGGAGGTGATAGTTGTTATACCTCGCCGTGGCCCTGGGTCGCCAGTGGACATGAAGGGGTGCGTCGAGCCTCCTTGTGCTGCTCCTCTCGCTGTTCCGTTGCTCCCCTTCGTCTTCGTGTCCGTCCGCCCCCCCCCTGGACGATCCAGCGTCTCTCCTTCGACGGCTCAAACGAGCCTGTGCCACAGCGTGCTGACGCAGACCTGCTGCATGGTCTGAGTTTGCCCCCCGCCCTCTCCTCTCCTCCGCGGCCGCCCTGACTCTCCTTCCTCTGCCTCTTGCAGCGCACAGTCAGCTGTCCAGCGCTCGTGGGCCGCTTGACCGACCCGCGCGCTCGCTGGGCCCGCCACAAGCAATGTCCTCCGCCTCCTTCCACTCTTCCACTAGCTCCTGTTGCTGCTCCTGCCCATGCTTGGGTCATGGTAACGAGAGCGGAGGAGTCCACCTCTTCAGTGGGACGTTTGCGTGGTGTGGGTGGGAGGTGGGGTGGGGTTGGATGTTGGATGAGCGGCACGGACCCTTCGTGAGGGTCTACCCAGATGTGGGTGTGATGGGTGGCCGACGAGCTACGACTGAGGTGCTATGACGACGCCGGCGACGCCGCCGCCGACGACGACGACGATCACGACGACGACGACGACGACGACGACGACGACGACGACACCGACGACGACGACGACGCCAACAGACGATGGCTGCGGCGGCGGCGGCGGAGACTGCGACGACGACGGCGACGGAGACGGCGACAGCGACGAAAACGGCGACGATGACGACGATGTCGCCAGGACGATGTAAGGGTGACGCCAGGACCTGCTCCCAGCTTCGCGCTGCGCTGCGCGCGCCACATGTACTTGAGCGTAGCAGCAAACACTGGCTTGCAGGACGGTCTATTGATGAGGCTTCTGCTGGAAGCGGACCATGAAATTCGAGCCGAGATTGCGCTCGCGCAGAAGCGTGCCGATGAGGTGCTCGCAAAGGAGACTTCGACCTTGTTTTTTCGGGGGTCGGGGGACATCCTGCGTTCCTTGGGCCTTCGCCTCCCCCCTTCTCTCCCTCCTCCCCTCCTCCCTTTTCCCTCCTCCCTCCTCCGTCCCTCCTCCGTCGTTCCTTCTTCGTCCTCTCCCGTCCCTTCTCATCCTCATCCATCTTAGTAGGGAGCTGAGTTTTCTCGCTCTCAAGATTGCCTGCCCTGGCCAGGGTGAAACGTTTTGAGCCACTTCCTCACCACAACGTCCCCTGTCATGCTACCAGAACGCAAACACAGAGGCATGCCACCTGAACATGGGTGCCTGGCTTTTCCATCGTTTCTATCGCCCGTTGCACGGTACGAAGGGACGTCACAGCCTTTGCGAGCTCGTCCCACCTTTGGGTGCATGGATCTGCCAGCAGTGCAGCAGGGACCTGGACCCATGATGTCGCAGCTGTGTGGAGATGGCGCGCGGCCGCTCCGGCCGTGGCCGCCAACTGACCCGTTCACCGTCTGCCTGCTCCTCCACCGGACACCCACCTGCAGCGCTGGAGGCTTACTGCTCCGGCCACGCCTCCTCCTCCTCCTCCCCCTCCTCCTCCTCCTCCTCCTCCTCCTCCTCCTCCTCCTCCTCCTCACCTGCCATGGCCTGGGAGTGCACACCGAAAGCCCCCCGACGTGGCCGAGGATCACACGTGTCCGCGAGGGCCTGGCCCTCTGCCGCGGGGCCCCTCTGATCACGGGAGGTGTCGGCGCCGTGCTGGGACGCCGCGGCGCCGTGCAAGCCTTCTGTGGACGTTGTGCGAGGGCGACTGGTATGCAGCAGACACATTGAGATGCTGGAGTTGCTGTCGGGCGCTCTGTTTCATTCTCAGAGCGCGAATCAGGGATTCCTTTTCGGGGGGTCGCGGCCTGGGGAGCGCGAGTCTGGCGTCATTTGCGGGGGATCGTGTCCCCAGGAGCTGGCCTGCGGCGCGAGGCCAAACGATTGGACAATCGAGAGAGCAGCACATAGAGCTCCAGCCACCAGTCGTCGTCCTCCTTCTTGCCATTCCCGACCTCGTGGCGGCCGCAGTCCAGGATCACGCCTGGGCGACGTCGGCGCGGCTCCCCATGGGACCGCGAACCATGTGAGGGATGTGCCGACATGGGCATGCGGGGGTCGGGGTGGGCGTTCTTTGACTTTCCATGTGGGCCCTTCGGTGGAGCTCCCTATGGGGCCACGAACCGTGTGAGGGGTGTGCCGAAATTGACATGTGGTGGGCGGGGTGTGCGAATGTGGACTTTGCCTCTGAGGCCTTCGGTGGAGCTCCTTATGGGATCACGAAGCGTGTGGTGTGTGTGTGTGCCGAAATTGACATGCGGGGGGCGGGGTGGGCGCATGTGGACCTTGCCTGTGGGGCCTTCGGTGGAGCTCCCTCTGGGGCCACGAACCGTGTGAGGGGTGTGCTGGAATCGATGGACATGTGGTGGGCCGGGTGGGCGCGTGTGGACTTTGCCTCTGGGGCCTTCGGTGGAGCTCCCCGTGGGGCCACGAACCGTGCGAGGGGTTTGCCGAAATTGACATGCGGCGGGCGGGGTGTGCGCATGTGCACTTTGCATCTGGGGCCTCCAGTTGAAGTCCTTACGGGATCACGAAGCGTGCGGTGTGTGTGTGTGTGTGTGTGTGCCGAAATCGACATGTGGCGGGCGGGGTGGGCGCATGTGCACTCTGCCTCTGGGGCCTTCGGTGGAGCTCCCTGTGCGAACATGAACCGTGTGAGGGGTGTGCCAAAATTGATGGACATGCGGTGGGCGGGGTGGGCGTATGTGGACTTTGCCTCTGGGGCTTTCGGTGGAGTTCCCTATGGGGCCACGAACCTTGTGAGGGGTGTGCCCACGTGGACATGCGGCGGGCGGGGTGGGCGCATGTGCACTCTGCCTCTGGGGCCTTCGGTGGAGCTCCCTATGCGAACACGAACCGTGTGAGGGGTGTGCCGAAATCGACATGTGGCGGGCGGGGTGGGCGCATGTGCACTCTGCCTTTGGGGCCTCTGGTGGAGCTCCCTATGAGACCACGAGGCGTTTGAGGGGTTTTGCCATGTTTGCTTTTGTTGATTGCTCCGCTTCCTCTCAGGTCGTTTTTGTTGTTTGTTTGTTTGTTCGTTTTTCTCTCCCTCTATCTCTCTGTCTCTCTTTCGCTCTCTCTCTCTCTCTCCCTCTCTCTTTATCTCCCCCTTTGCTCGCTTCCTCATCCCGCGGGGCTGCTCCCATGAGGGTGAAGAGGGCCGAGTGGAGGAGACTGAGGAACCCTCCTCCTCCTCATCATCTCTGTTCTCCTCCTATCACTCCTCATCCTCTCAGCACATCCCCCAAGGGAGGAGGAGGGGGAGGAGGAGGAGGAGGAGGAGGAGGAGGAAGAGGAGGAGGAGGAGGATGATGAAGAGGAGGAGGAGGAGGAGGAGGAGGAGGAGGAGGAGGAGGAGGAGGAGGATGCGGAGGATATGTAGGACGATGCGCAGGATGACCAGCATGGAGATGAGGATGAGGAACCACTCCTCTCCTGCATGCTGCAATTTCTCCTCATCCCTCCCCCTCTTCACCCTGCTCTTCCTCATTGTCTGCATCCTCCCGCTCCTCCTCATGTCCCCGATGCGGGGGGAAGAGGTTGGGGTGGTGATAGGAGGAGGGGGATAAGGGTGGGGGTGGTGATGACATGGTGAGGAGCTGGATCAGGAGGAGGATAAGGATTCATTCCTCCTTTGGGATCCCGTCGCTCGCATTAAGATTCCCCCTCTTCACCCTGCTCTTCCTCATTGCCTGTATCCTCCCGCTCCTCCTCATGTCCCCGATGCGGGGGGACGAGGTTGGGGTGGTGATAGGAGGAGAGGGATTGGGGTGGGGGCGGTGGTGACATGGTGAGGGGCTGGATCAGGAGGAGGGTAAGGATTCATTCCTCCTTTGAGATCCCGTTGCTCGCGTTAAGATTCCGCCTCTTCATCCGGATCGCCATTCGGTTTTTCTTCCTCCGTCATCCATAGGCATCATCATCTATCGTGTGGGAGGACGCGGATGCAGAGAAGGATGTGACATGATAGGAACACAATTGGGGAGGATGATGCGGAGGATGAGGAGGAGGCGGAAGCTTTGAGCGGCCACTCCTTCTCATCCGCCCTCCTCGTCCTTCTTGTCGTTTCTCCTTCCACCCCCATAGGGTGAAGATGCGTCAGATGATGGAGGGCATGTGTGATAGAATGAGGGCTGTGAGGGGGATGTGGGGGATTTATAGTATCATCACAATGAGTGGAAGTGACTCCTCAACCGAGCTCTACTCCTGCTATGCTCCCCTTGTTCGTCCACATATCAGAGTTCATCATGCCACCAGCCGTCCTCCCCCCTCTTCTTCTTCCGCGCACATGAGAAAAAGGAGGGAAATTTACATAATCATGTAGAGAGCTTGGGTTAGCCGTCATTGGCGCAGTACAGATCGTTTGGAAAGTATGCTACTTAATGTTTCAGTAGTGCGTTGTGGGATCATTCGCCGCAAATATAAGGCCTCTCGATGATTTGTATCAGCGAGGGCCCCTGGGGCTGACCGTGGTGGTGGTGGTGGTCGTCGTCGTCGTCTTCGTAGTAGTGATGGTAAATGGTAGTAGTGGTAGTAGTAGTAGAAGTAGTAGAAGTAGTAGTAGTAGTAGTAGTAGTAGTAGTAGTAGTAGTAGTAGTAGTAGTAGTAGTAGTAGTAGTAGTAGTAGTAGTAGTAGTAGTAGTAGTAGTAGTAGTAGTAGTAGTAGTAGTAGTAGTAGTAGTAGTAGTAGTAGTAGTAGTAGTAGTAGTAGTAGTAGTAGTAGTAGTAGTAGTAGTAGTAGTAGTAGTAGTAGTAGTAGTAGTAGTAGTAGTAGTAGTAGTAGTAGTAGTAGTAGTAGTAGTAGTAGTGGTAGTAGTGTAGTAGTAGTAGTAGTAGTAGTAGTAGTAGTAGTAGTAGTAGGAGTAGTAGTGTAGTAGTAGTAGTAGTAGTAGTAGTAGTAGTAGTAGTAGCAGTCGTCGTAGTAATCGTCGTAATAATAATAGTTATAGTTGCAGTCGTAGTATTCATGGTAGAATGTGTTGTGGAATTAGTGGTGCAAGCAGTAGTGTAATCCGTAGTAGTAGTAGTAGTAGTAGTAGTAGTAGTAGTAGTAGTAGTAGTAGTAGTAGTAGTCGTAGTAGGTGTAACAGTAGTGGTGGTAGTCGTAGTAGTAGTGGTCGTAGTCGTATTTCTAGTCGTAGTAGTAGTAGTCGTAGTAGTCGTAGTAGTAGTAATGGTAGTCGTTATAGTAGTAGTCGTAGTAGTAGTAGTAGTAAGTAGTAGTAGTAGTAGTAGTAGTAGTAGTAGTAGTAGTAGTAGTAGTAGTAGTAGTAGTAGTAGTAGTGGTAAGTAGTAGTAGTAGTAGTAGTAGTAGTAGTAGTAGTAGTAGTAGTAGTAGTAGTAGTAGTAGT